ACGAACCTCATGAAATTGAACAGCAAGCAGGATTTAGAGCTGGAAGATCTTGCGTAGACCACATATTTACCTTAACACAAATGAATGAAAAGAAAGTTACAAGAAACGAGGAAATACATCTTTTATTTGTGGATCTCACAAAAGCATATGATCCGATTCCTGTGAGAAAGCTGTGGCAGTCTCTTGAACGATCTCCATTAAATAGCACGATCATCGCCGCAGTCAAACAATTATACAATAAAGCATCATCAAAAATCAAACTAAACAACACCTTATCAGAAGAATTTCCAGTAACAAAAGGCTTACTACAAGGATGTTGCCTCTACCCAATATTATTTAAGATCTATTTAAATGAAGCACTAAAACACTGGAGAAGATCCTGTTCAGGAATGGGGATCCAACTTGACGACGATACATCATTATACACATTTTGCGGACGACCAAGTAGTAGTGGCAGCAGACAAGGAAGATTTAGAATTCATGACAAGACGGTTGTTTAAAACATATAAAGAATGGGGCCTCTCTGTAAATAGAAACAAAACGCAATACTTATGCATCGGGAATGAAGTAGAAGATCTAATGGTCAACGAACATGAAACAATCAAGAACTGTGAGGAATATATATATTTGGGAACAACGATCAACAAGAGTGGGCGCACCGCAAAAGAGATAGAGCAAAGAATCGTGAAAGGAAAAATGGTGATAGGATGCCTAAAACCGATGCTATTGTCAAAAGAACTATCAAATCAAAGAAAGCATCTTCTTTTTAACTCCATCTTTATAAGTATAGTGCTCTATGGATGCGAAACATGGCAACTTACTAAATCCCTTGAGCGACGTCTACTTGCATTGAAAATGGACTTCTGGAGAAGATCAGCTAGAAAATCAAGGCTTGATAAAATACAAAATGACCATATCAGAAATATAATCGGAGTCAAGTCAACCATCATTGACGAAATTCAAAGGAGACAACTGATCTGGTATGGTCATGTGAAAAGAATGGACGACTACAGGCTGCCAAACCAAATTTTAAAATGCTATAAAAAACCGGGATAATAATAATAATAAGAGATGAATTCACAGGGGATTGGAGAAGACGTCGCAATGCTGAATTGGTGACTCTGTATAAAACTAAAAACATACTTAGACATATCAAGGCAAACCGAATAAGATGGGCAGGTCACGTGGTATGGTCAGAGGATGATAGATTGTTAAATACTGTGTTTTTTGAAAGACCAGATGCTAGAAGATCAGTAGGCCGACCGAGAAAAAGATGGAAGGATGATGTTGAAGCCGATTTATCTAGAATTGGGGTACAACAATGGGAAATAGAAGCGCAAGATCGTAGAGGATGGAGCGCGATATTGGATGCGGCGAGGACTCACCTCGAGTTGTAAAGCCAGTGAAGAAGAAGAAGAAGTCGAGACAGGGAAATAAAACACTGAGTATAAGCGAACAAAACAATTATAGATTGTCTGAACTCTCTTTACTGTGTTAGAAACAGTTTTTAAAAACAAAAAAAAACCATCGGAAATACTGTTGTAAAATCTGTTGCCTAATTTGCTCTTAGTTGTAGAGTAAACCGAAAATATAACAGAAAATTGCATGCTCTGATTGTTGTTACCGAGAGAAGATATTAAGAATCTTTTGTGTAGCTATTTTTAAATGTTTTATGCTTTTTGCACGTTTTTTACTTAGGGATATCTATAAAACAGTCATTTTTAATCATTTTTTATGAGATATATTTGGCATCATATGAACCAGAAATATTTGGGTTAAATCCTAGGGATAATTTTCTGGAAAATTTGACGTCGCCGGTAATAATTTAATGATAATGGATGTTATTGTTGATAACAGATCAATAAGTTTGTAAATTAGCATGATATAGAATTGAAAAATAATGTAGTTTTAAACGTATTAACAATATAAATAAATGAAATCGACCACAGCGGACCATAAATATATGAATTCTGATAAATTACCTTCAATTTTATTTATAAATTTATTGATTGTAATTATAAATTGTAGTGAAAATTTATTACCGTTGACTATTTGGCACTTACTTAATCACTCTAAAACAGAGACGGGCTATAAAAAATATAAAAGTAGAATCTAGGATTATTTGTTGGCTATAAGTAACTTCAGTACTTCAGTAAGACAGTACCACTACATTTTTGATTGAAACGTTTAAAGCAGGGGTGCTCAAACGGTCGATCGTGATCGACTGGTCGATCGCGAGTGCTTTTTGGGTAGATCTCGAGAAGAAAAAAAAATTTAATAAGTAGGTAGGTAACTAAACTACTGTCAGCAGAGTTAAACGTTTTTATTAATACTGAACTATACAAATACATAGAATGAATGAAAAGGATTTTCCGCCACAGAGTGAATTCAGAAAACGAAAAGTAAGTGATTTGATATCTTGTTTGAAAAAAGAACAATCCATGTTCACAAGACCAGCCAAACAATCAAAAGCTGCTACGATCGCGTCATTTAAAATATCTCATATTTTGGCGAAACACAAGAAACCATTTGAAGATGGATCGGTGGTGAAGGAAGCATTTATTGAAGCGGGTGAGACTGTATTTGGAGATTTTAAAAATAAAACAGAAATCATGTCTGTTATTAGAGAACTTCAGTTATCTCGTCCGACTGTCACAAGGCGTATTGAAGTCATGAGTCAAGACATCTCAGATAAACTAAAACATGATATCATGGAATGTACATACTTTTCTTTACAGTTCGACGAATCCATCGATATGACAGACACTACCCAGCTATGTATTTTTATTCGGATGGTATTCAATGACATGTTGGCTAAGGAAGAATTTTTGACAATCATTCCTCTGAAGGGGAAGACCCGTGGCGAAGATATATATGATGTTTTCTTAAATTTTGTAAAAAACTACGAGCTACCAATATGTATGTAATGTGCATTACAACCGATGGAGCACCAGCAATGACTGGAAACAAAAACGGTTTTGTGGCATTGTATCGAGCTAATGAAGAATTCCCTTCATTTTTTTCATTCCATTGCATTATACATCAACAAGTTTTGTGTTCAAAAGTTTTAAATACGGAGGAAATTATGGGCATTGCAACAAAAATTGTGAATTCCATCCGTGCACGTAGCTTGCAACGGCGGCTCTTTCAGTTGCAGTTGGAAGATAGGGAGTCAGCTGAACACAATGATTTAGTTCTTCACACGGACGCCAGGTGGTTGAGTCGCGGAAAATTCCTAGAAAGGTTTCAAGAATTATTGCCCGAAATAACAGCTTTTCTAGACGAAAGAGGTGATGACACTCAGATTTTGAAAAACGAAAAATGGCTAAATGGTTTGGCATTTTTGACTGACATCACAATGCACTTAAACACCGTTAACTTGGAGCTTCAAGGAAAAGGAAAAACTATTATTGAGATGATTAGCGCAGTAAACGCATTCAAAAGTAAATTGCAACTTATGATAGATCAACTGAAAAGAAAGGATCTGAAACATTTTCCGTCTTTGAAAGCAAGGATTCCTCAGTTAAATTATGATACGTATGAGGCTGAATTATCAAATATTTTGGGACAATTCGAAATGCGTTTTTATGATTGCAGTAAATTGGAAAATATAGCATCATTTATGAGTTATCCTTTTTCATGTAAAAACATTGAGGAATTAGCTACTGAAATAGCAAGTCAGTTTAATATGAACTCATGTTCTGTTGAAAATTAGTTGGTGCAGATTATATCAGATATACATCTCAAAGCTACAGTATCTGATACAAATTTCTGGCGTTTTATATCTGAAGATAAATATCCGAATGTAAGGCAAATCGCCCTTCAACTGACGGCATTTTTTTGGGTCAACTTACTTGTACGAGTCTGCATTTTCTGAAATGAATATAATTAAGTCAAAATATCGCAATCGACTAACTGACGATCATATGACATCATGCTTGCGATTAGCACTCAGTGGTTACGTACCATCTTATGACAAGTATAGTGAGGACATGCAGTGCCACGCTTCAATATCCAAAGCCACTCTTTAGTTAAGTTTAACACCATATGTAACTCTTTTGTTTTGTAACAACAAATAAATTCGCAATTTTGAATAACTATGAGTTTTTTCATTGATATTGTAGAGAAGAACCTAACTAAACCTAACCCAAACGTTGACTAAAATAATGTACCTATATTGTGCAGAAAGCTAATATCTATATATGCTACGGTACGCCCTACCTAGATAGGTAGGGTGTATCGTGTATGTACGACAACCCTGCATCACACACACTTGTAGTCTCTCAGAGTCGATCGTAAGTAGTCTAAAAATATTGAGGTAGATCTCCAGCAGTTCAAGTTTGACCACCCCTGGTTTAAAGGATCTTTATTTTGGATAATTTACTGCATCCCCCTCCATCCCATCCCAAAACTTCAAACTTCCAATTAAAATCTGGAGTTCGACAGGGATGCATAATATCCCCTATTCTATTCAATATATATAGTGCACATATTATGCGTCAAGGAATGGCGTTTTTGAGGAATGGCAGGGTGGAGCAACGATAGGAGGAAGAAAAATCATAAACCTACGTTATGCTGAGGACACTGTTTGGTCGCTAACGGAATTATTCCTCAGGATATTTCAAACTTAGGATAAAAAACCACCTTTCGATTAACCCCGTATAATAAGTCAAAAACAAAATTTTATTAAAAAACACACTATAATGAATTAAAATTCATAAATTTTTACGGAGAAAAACTGAAATACTTTGAATTTGACCAAAATTTTCTCCGTTATTTTTTTTGTATCTTCGTGTACTTTTTGTTTATTTATTAATTTTGTGTAAATAATGTTTAATTATAATATTAACAGAATTAAGGTTTTATCATAATTAAATACATATCATTTTATGTAAAAACAAAGAAAAATGTGTTAGATCTCTAACAAAAAATTATTTCTTAAAAAGATATATATATAAATATATAAAAAAATTTCCACTAAAGATTGTAATGAAAATCAATCACTTACTTCGAAATCCTCTTGCGTCCTCGTGCACGCCGGGGGAATCACTCCCTGTGCCCTGTCCCTGAGTTTCCCCATCCTCAGACATCTGTGCATCCAAACTTTCTTCTTTAACAGCAGTTTGGGGCTGTGGAGACATAGACGCACTCGCAGGACTACACGAATCAGTCCTGGGACTTGGCCCCAAAAGACGCTCCTCCGAAGGAGAAAAAATAGCGTGATTATGACTAGAGTGCATACCATCATTATTAGTCTCGATTTTGAGGCATTTTGGAGGGGCGAAAGCTGAAGGAGAAGAAAAAGATTTGAGATCTGTTAAGGGCCGAAAGGCTCCGGAGCCTAAAGTTAAACCTGGATGTAAAAATTGAGGTTGAAGGTGATTCAAGATATGAGCCGGAATGCCTGAATATGCTTCCATATGTCGAAGACCGAAAGATGAAGCTGTGAACGGTCTGTGAAGATCCTTGGACGCTTCTGTCATTGCAAACTGAAAAAAAAAAACTTAATGTTAATTTTAAAAACGTAACTTATAAGTCGTTAATTAAAAATATTAGTCAAAAATTTAAAAAATATAAAATTATGTACGAAACACATAATTTAAGTAAAGCTTTGCTTATGTATTTTTTTATTTTGCAATAAGCAAATCGCGAATTTTTCTTATTAATAAATATTGTGCTCTTCTTCTGTCAGCCTGTAATTTACCATTTCAACAAGTTTTTGTTTTTTTTTCTAGACTCTAACCTCTCGTAGCTTCTGGCTTATCTTCTTTTGACAGTGATATGAAAAAGGTTTGGTTCCGTTCTCCTATGCCCAGCGTCAACTTCGTAGATTGAATTGGAAATATTGTTTAATATTTTGTATGGTCCAATCCTTAGTTCATCTATCTTCTTTCTTTTTAGTCGGTTTCCATTCTCCACACATATACTAAACATTGTTGCTTATATTTTAAGTTCAAATGACAAAAATAAGATCACCATAAGCATCACCATAATCTCAATTGAGACCGAGAAAAATGTAATCATTATAATGCCAATTGATATGCAAAATATTTCCAATCATGAAAAAATACAGGCTACAGGCTTTTCAAAAAGTAAAAAGAGCCCAGCAAAAAGGGGTATTACAAGAAAAGTGTTGATCGCATTAGATGAAGATACTTTAAAAGTTTAAATGAATGAAGATGGAAGGACGCTTCAAGGATTTTTTATTGGAACAGTAAAGTGTTTATACTGAAAAATGTCAAATGTTTAGTATTGGTGTTTCAATTGAAGTTTTAGAACAAATCTTGGAGTGGGCAACTACATCAAATGTTGTTTTGCAATAATGTTTGTTTCTTCAAGTTTCTTCAGCAAAGTTTCATTAATAAAACTCCATTGCGTTTCTCTGCAAAAAAACAACTTTATTAATACGTGTACAATATTGAATTAAAATTACATTACCTGCAAAAAGAAACAACATTTTCAAACTTTTAACTAATATTAAAGTGACGTCTCTAATGGCAGTAATATAAATTAATAACGACAAGAGACAAGACTCAATGTCAATGTCAAAAGCTAAATAAGACGAAGTATTTTGACAAAGACATAACAAACTATTAAACCCTAAAATTTTGTCAGACCGTGGAGTTGAAGTGCCTACATTGTAAAAAATGTCATGCGCCCTTCCCTCCATGCTATGGCATGCTGGACGAGCCATACCATGTAGTCAATACCCCGAGGTATGAGCGGGAACACAAAGTGTATTAATACTCATACGCTTATGAAACGCACCTGGCGCATCATAAGGGCCTTCACATTTCACTCTTTTTCAACTTGTCTTGAGTGAAATGTCTTTAATCTTTCCTATCGGCCTCTCTTGGCTAACTCTTGTTTCTTCCGACTCCGAATGGCTATTAGGTTTCCGAGGGCAGACGGGTCACTATATTTCCTTCTATTACACACTCTAGGAAGGCAACGGGAAACCACCTAGAGCCTAATTTTCCCAAGAAACAATCATGGAAATGGCTGATAAATACAACGGCCCCGAGTACGGGCGCTCCTTAAATGGAGCAGGGGTGCTAAGAATCTCCCGGTCAGCTAGAAACATGAACACATTTTCTAAAGAAAGAAAAATAGGTACATGGAATGTAAGAAGCATGTACGAACCAGGAAAAATTCATAACACCATTAAAGAAATGAAGCGTCTAAATATAAGTATACTTGGAATAAGTGAAATGAGATGGCCGGGGTCTGGAAAAGTAACTGTAGATGACCACATTGTATACTATTCAGGAGAAGACAGCTCAAAACACAAAAATGGTGTAGCAATAATTGTGTCGAAGGAAACAGATGAAGCTGTAAAAAACGTCGTCCTATTCTCAGACAGGATACTGATGACACAAATACAATCAACAACAATCAATGTGAACATATTACAAGTATATGCACCCACACAAGACTATGAACAAGAAGAAATTGAAAAATTCTATCATGATTTAGAAAAAGTATTAGCACCTACAAAGAAACACGATCTCAATATTATCATGGGAGATTTTAATGCAAAGATTGGTGAAGGTGAACAGGAAGATGTCATAGGGAAATATGGTCTGGGAATACGAAATGAAAGAGGAGATATGTTGGCATCTTTTTGCGTAGAAAAACAATTAGTAATAATGAACACAATTTTCAAACTTCCAAAACGTCGTCTTTACACCTGGAAATCACCAGCAGATACACCTGAACGAGTTTTTCGTAACCAAATAGACTTCATATGTATAAATAAGAGATACAGAAATTCAGTATTATCAGTAAAAACATATCCAGGGGCAGATGTACCAACAGATCACAATATTTTAGTAGGAAAAATAAGACTGAGATTAAAAAGAGTTGCAAGGACGAATAAGCAAACAGTTACTATTGATAGAGAAACGATGCTAAATGATACTGTAAAACAAGAAATAACTAGTATATTAGAACAAAAGATGAAGTTAACATCAAGCAAAGAAGAAAGTACTGAGGAAAACTGGACGAGAATTAAAGACATCTTAAAGACTGTTCAAGAAACAAAATTGAGTGCGCTAAAAGCAAGAAAAAAACAAGGGTGGATGACAGAAGAAATACCGAGACTTATGGATCAAAGAAGAGAAGTCAGAAATAAAGATAAAAACGAATACAAGAGGATCCACGCAATAATCAGGCAGAAGATAAGACACGCGAAAACACAATTTCATAGTAAAGAATGTAATGAAATTGAACAATATGAAAAGAAACATGATACATTTCATCTGCACAAGAAATTGAAAGAGGTCGCTGGAAACAAATGGAAACAAGTATCCCAAAGTTTAGAAGACAGAAACGGACACAGAATATTAGACATCAATGAAAAGTTAAAAGAATGGGAAAACTACATTTCTGAATTATTTGAAGATGAGAGAGTAGAACACTATACACCGATTGCTATATCAGGTCCATCTATAACAGAAAGTGAGGTAAGACGTTCAATACAAACGGCAAAAAATGGAAAAGCACTTGGCCCCGATGAAGTAAGTGCTGAAATACTAAAGTTTTTGGGAGAAAATGGAATTAAAGCTCTGTGTAATCTCTTTAACAGAATTTATGACACTGGAATATTACCAACTGATTGGTTAAAGTCGACATTTGTCACAATACCTAAGAAACATCGTCCAAAGACATGCGGTGATTATCGGACAATAAGTCTGATGAGTCACGTTTGGAAAATCTTTCTGCGAGTAATACACAGCAGAATTTATACGCTGTTAGAGGACAGAATTAGCAATACTCAATTTGGGTTTAGGAGTGGCTTGGGTACAAGAGAAGCCTTGTTTAGTATACAGGTGCTAGTACAGAGATGCAGAGATATAAATCAAAATGTGTATATTTGTGCAATCGATTTTGAAAAAGCTTTTGACAAAGTTCGACATAACAAAATGCTAGAAATATTGGAAACAGCTGGATTGGACGATAAAGATCTACGAATAATTACAAATCTATACTGGCATCAAGTGGCAAGAATAAAGGTTGAACAAGAACTGTCGGATGAAATAAATATAAAAAGAGGAGTGAGACAAGGTTGTATATTGTCGCCTTTACTTTTTAACTTACATTCGAAGGAAATATTGAAGGAAGCCTTAATGGAGACAACCGAAGGTATTATTGTGAATGGAGTAACCGTCAACAATATTAGATATGCCGACGATACCTTAGTCCTTGCCAATTGCGGAGAAGACCTTCAAAATCTAATGAACAAAATAAAACAGACTTGTGATCAGTATGGATTAAAACTCAACGTTAAGAAAACTAAATATATGATAGTTAGCAAACAAAATTATATACATGATGACGGTAAAAAAGTCGGAGATGCCACACTGGACAGAGTAGAGAAACTCGTGTATCTCGGCAGTAATATCAATGAGAGTTGGGATCCAACCGCAGAAATTAAAAGCCGAATAGAACAAGCCCGAGCTGCCTTTGTAAAAATGAGAAACGTACTTTGCAGTCATGATCTTAGCATTGACCTTAGAGTTCGTATGATATCTTGCTACATCTTTTCTGTCCTGCTGTATGGAGTAGAAGCGTGGACCCTAACTGAGGCTATGCTTAAACGCTTGACAGCCTTTGAGATGTGGGTATACAGACGACTACTGAAAATAAGCTGGGTCGACAGAGTTAGAAATGAGGAGGTCCTTAGACGGCTGAACCAAACAACACAACTGGTCAATATAATAAAGAAACGCAAGCTGGAATACTTCGGTCATATTATGAGACACCCTGTGTCTCATAATATGACCGATCTTTTACATCTGATCATTCAGGGAAAGATCCAAGGTAATCGTGGTCCTGGTAGAAGAAGAACATCATGGCTGAAAAATCTAAGGCAATGGTATGGAAAATCAACTACATCGTTATTTAGAGCTGCTGTCAATAAAGTCACGATAGCGAATATGGTAACCAACATGATATCCAACGATCGATAACGGTCATGGAACTAGAAGAAGAAGAAACCCTAAAAATTGCAAATCCTATATATATATATATATATATATATATATATATATATATACAATTTATTATGTACTAGAATACTTCTAGTACATAACAACTAGATCCATAGTTTTAAAAACTGTTAAACGTATCACTTATCGGAGAGGGGCTATCTCGTTACACTGCTCCCCTCTTAGATCTGAATATCCAGATCACAAGCAACTTTACATGAAAGCCCAGTATGGCGGAATATACAGGATTCTCTAGCTCTGCGTGAACCCCTTAGAAAGAAATAACAGTCTCCTGTCTTTGAAGGACACGATCTCTTCGGATTAATGCAACACACAGTAATTCATACGCCAGTTTTTAGAAGATCACTTCAAGCATGCTTCTGACAATCGTCCAATGTAGTTTTTCTAGTGCATGGCCTATCTTGGGTAAGGCCAAATTCTTAATGTCATAATTGCACACGATTTTCTTCAAATTAGTTAGAGCACGCCATATATCTTCG